TTTGTAGATTAATGCTGTAAAAATTACTATTTGTACGGAAACGACAAAAATATATTTTTATTCTGTATAACACTACGACTGTAGTGGAAACATTAGTATATGTACGTAAATAATAAAATTCTGTTATGGAAACGTCATATTAAACTTTAAAACTAATTTGTTAGAATAAAAGTTTCGGATTAAACAAATCGGTATGGCTACCCCGCTACAGGTGGTAACATTTGTTTTTTGTTCTGTTTATCCTTAATCGGAAAGGCAAAGGGAACTGCGCCCATACAGCCGAGGTGGTAACATTATTTGAAAATTTGACATTTAAACCTGTCAATTTAGTCTCCCGGATTAAAAAACAAACTATAACCAAGTAAGGCACTTACAAATTAATTACTAAGCTACTTGGTGTCCCTGTAGCCCCGAGCCCCGCATGTTTATGGGGGCTCGACCTCAGAGTGAGAGCATAGCAAATGGCTAACGCGGGGCGAGAGGGAAGAGGAAATTAATAGGAAAAAGGGGAAAAGGACGGTGGTGGACCACGTCGTCGTACTGAAAGAGCGACAAAACTAGGAACTCTGCAAATCCCGGAGAGTCGCCTGGACTAAATAAAAAAAAAGATGTTTGGATGAAGCAATTGGTTTTAAATATCTGGCAAAGTAGAGAGTGCTTAAAACAAAGAGGTTAACAGAGAATAAACCTTAAAAGTTATATGTTTTGTTAATTTATTTTTTTGTATAAATACTTTTGCATTTATTATTTACTATAGTATTTATTAAACACAATGAACGAAGCTTTATGAATCTATGCCTTGCTTACCTTTAATATTCTTTGAGAACCAATGACTACAGAAATATCTACCCGAGCGAAGCCGGATTTTCATCTAGTAACTCTATAATTATGTATCTGCTCTATTCATTTTGTCGCACAAGACGCTAAGGTTCCCCCAATTGAAGAACGTGGGAATACGCAAGTTAGCGGCGCGTACGGTCTTTATCATTCTCTGTCTACATTTACTGTGTATACATATTCTTTCCTGCGTAAAAGCCGCTTCCCGCGTGAAAGAGCGTACGTAAGAACGTACGCGCGTGTAAAAGCAGCTATTACGTTAAAGTATTACGGAGATAAATTATATGTATAAAGACGTCTTTGTGGCTGAGCATTTCGTCAATTCAATCTCTAAGTATTATGTTTTGTTAGATGTACTGTTTTAGTTCACGGATGTGGTTTATGGATACTATAATGATTCACGGAGTACATTGTAATCCTCCAGACTGTACTACAAATGATAACGTCACGTCTTACATGATAACGTGATGTCGTAATGTTTTTCATAAATATAGGCGATGGTTGGCATTTACCATCAGGAAGACCACCAACTGGTTTACCATTCCGATAACATAAAAAATATCACGTATCGAATAGCGCAGAGATACTACGACGACAATGTCGTATAGCTTTTTTAAACCTTACCTTTACTCCCAGAAATGGGAATAGACCTTCCTCCTTAAACGACAACAGAGACGAAAAAAATATTTTTCCCATAACTTTCCAAAATACAAATATTAAAACATGACTTAATCATATTTTCAATAATTATAAAAGCTTATTTTTAAATAATTCTTTCAGAAAATAACTCACAGCTTATTTTCTTCATATAGATAGAGAATTCCAGTTTTAAAACCAAGCATCTGACAAATGATGAGAGTATGATCTTTGTCATAATTTGCTTCTGAATCCTTTAAAATATTTAAAACTTTCTCTTCATATACAGTCTTCTCTCTCCCTGAAACTTTAGCCCTGGAAATAAAATTAAAATGTAAAAAACACGCAACTATTGTAAAGAATTATAAAGTAAAGATGAATTCAGATCACCTAGTCCCATTGTATACAGCGAATTCACTGGGATCATATCACAGAGACATCGCATTATTAAAAATCTGTTGCATCCTCCGTGTATATTATCCAGTTTGCTACAAGAATACTATAGGTAGCCAATTTTCATATACTAAAAATGTTTATATACTTTCAGAAACTACCCAATTGTTATCAATGATTATGGACATCGATAAAGTCTAGCCGAGCCCCATAACGTTGTCTGCGTTTTTCGTTCATGCTCCGCTCTTATTAGTTACGCTCATCCATATAAACATATTGCTTATATTAAACTGTGCTGTGCTGAACTATGTCGCCTGTGCAACCTGTTCCAAAGCCGTATACACCGTATACACCGTATAGGCTTAAGGGTTAAACACTCACCATACGTGTATATAATGTTCAATAAGCGCGTTGTACACAAGCTTCGAACATTCCAAATCGAGCGTAGTCATATGTTCCAGGAACTCGATGAGCCGCTCCGAATTGCTTAAGAACATGTGTATGAAGTCATCTGGGAGGGCCCTTTCTGGTTCCCTGATGCCTCCCGTGAGAGTAGCCTCATCCACTAATGGTTTACTGCGAGGTTTGTAGTCCGTACACAGCACTGAAAGATACTAGCTTATTAATAAAGTAGTTCGTAAATTTTACCTAGGTAGATGTACCTTTGTATGTTTTGTAAATTATGTCTCGGTTTGAAGGGTGACATATGACAGTGAAATTACTGGGTACGAAAGTATACCATAGAGTGATTCGACATATAAATGCCACAGTTATGTGGATACTCAAAGGTAAGTGCCCACTAATCCATAGGGAGCTATTGGGTTATTAACATTTCAGTCCTTAACTTATTGACTTAAAAATAAAACATTTGACATATCAAGAAGGGTCGATTCTTTTTTCTATTGAAGCATGAAATTGTGAAGTGGCCAGAACTTAGCAATTTTTACATGTAGCAACAAACAGCCGAGACCACTGATGTAGCTACTTTAATAGTCTAGACTTGAAAAGCTTCCTTCCTAGTCCGTCATTATTAAACTTACGTTTCAGGAATTTTGTGCTCTCCTCTGGTTCATGCTGTATGAGTGTGTGCCCATACTTCTTCATGTAGAATTCCGCATCCTCAAACTCCAAGTCAAGCATGTACTGAAGCGCGGAGCTGTACTCCTTCTTGTCTTCTAGCATAATCTTGAGGTACCAGTCGTGACGCTTATTATTCGACGCTAGCGAGAGAGCATCGTCCACGCTAACTTGGCGGACCACCTACATATAATATTTGGTTAAAATAATCAATTTGTCATGGAGTCTGATTATCATAATAATCATAACACAGCATAGCACTGGTGGCCATGAGTCTTAAAGAGGAGTTTATAGAAACATATGAAAAAATAAAAAAATATATATATAGTTATTTAAATAACAATTCATTTAAATAACTTTCTTTCCTTTGCACTCCGTTTTCTCTACCATGTGTCCCCAGCTGCATCCCATGTATCAAATGTCAAAAAGAAGCAAAAATACATTACTATATTCTTTCTGTAAAATGGAGAATCACTATTCTCTATTTTATATTATTTCGGCCTGTATTTTACGGGCATTGTACATGTACATTTTATATGAAATTGAAATGGTAAAGAAGGAAACCTGCGAGTGTAACTCGCCGCCATTTGCATAAACAGAATTATGGTCATTTCAAACTACATTCTGAGCCCTATATGCCATTTATGTGTAATCATTGTAGAGTACTACGTATTTTGCCTCATCATACTAACGTAACTTCATATGCCATATGCCCTACAACTGAAATATAGCTTACATAGAACTGGAGACACAAAGGTAGAGGTAAGCAGACAACTTAGTACAAAGTATAACTAGATAAATAAGATGTTTACCTTAATAGCAACATCCACATCAAAATCTATGGCTCTATCCTTGGAGTTGATGAATTCCTTCAGTTTCCCCTGCTGATCATGCTGGTCTATTTTCACGTAGCAAGTCAGCAGTAGCGTGGTGTGGTCCTCGGTAGCGTGGCCCTTCTTGTGCAACTCTTCCAAGTACAGTATCAGAGGTTCCAGGTCCCTAGCTTCCAGATATTTACGAATTACATATGATGTCTCCAGCCAACCAATGGTTTTGATATATTGGTCTATAGCGCCTTTCAAGTCGCCCTGTTGGTACATAAATTAATATGTGTATATTATTACACTATCATATATACAGGCTGATACTCATACTATAACTGATTAAATACAGGTTGGATATACATATAATGATAATGAGAGTACTCAGAAAATTCAAGAAATTGTCGAATTGTCATGTCAGTTCATGTTTATCTTATCATGCTTCACTGGTGCCCCGTCAGCATAAATAGTTAGCGCAAGCGGGGATATCATAACATGATCGCCAAATAAAAAAAGTATTACCTTGCTGTATAAGTGATCTCCATATTGTTTATTTATTTCTGTAAATCCCTCAACATCATAATGCTGACTACTCGCTATCCTAATCGCAACATCATATAAATTCTTCTTGAACAGCAACGATAACTTGGACTGCAGATCTTTCTCTTCCAAATATATGATCTCTTTCTTCTTTGTTAGTATATAGAACGATCCCCACTCAGTGATCACCGCATCAATCAGATCGAACGTTTTGGAAAACACAATGAATTTATTCTGAATGTCCAATATAGTGATGTGATGAGATTTCGGTCCGGTGCTAGTAGAGGCGGTGGATTTTGATTGCGTTTCGTTGCTGGTGATGACTAGATATGAACGGAACCAATTCAGTCCCACTTTGTCGCCTTCTAGCGCGTAGCACGGACCTCGACCTTCCGGAGTGTAGCAGTATATCGCCTGCACAACATACAGAATGGCTTGCTTGTTGGAAAATATAATTATAGTATAAATGACGTTACTGGTATTAAAGAGAGGAATCGATTTTAAAGTTATGAGTGAACTTTTATTATAATTTTTTTTTGGGTTTTTAGGTTACTGTCAGTTGCTCAGATCTGTAGCACTGCGACCTACACAGATCTATTGTGCTCGCCCATTTTTCAGTATTCGCTACCTTGACCTGATCCACTTCTACTGTGGCCACGGTTACTGGAGCGGGAACACAACTACTATTTTAATAAAAACCAAATACTAGTAAAAATGTGTATTCTTCCCAAAAGGGCTCACAGCGAGAAGTAACAAAACAATATAGTAGTCAAAAGTGACGTATAAAAAATAGATATCAAAAATATAAAGTTTATAAAAAGAATGGTAGACAAGCTGTCAGTAACAGCCACATTGTAAGGCGCAGTACTACATGTAGGGTATTAGAGACCACGAGAATTTACGAAGGAGATATATGAAAATGGACAAAGCGTCGTAGTAAGCGGGTGGCGGCAGTAAGTAAGAGCTACGAACGTTCCCGACGGCGACGGTGAGTCCGTGGTTGTCTGCGAGCGCGCTGCAGGCGGGCGGAGCTCCCTGCCGCTCGAGTGTAACGTTGCGTTCTGTGGCCGGCCACCACAGTGTGACGCTCGCGCGGGACACCACGTACAGCTTGTCTGCGTCTCTGCAGTAAAATCAAACATATTCAACATATCATTGCGAATGGGGGAAAAAATAGGTGGTGTGTGTATATGATAAAAAACAAACAAGTTATTCAGCAATACATTATCATCCAAAACAAATATTTATATATTAAGATATAATAATGATATATTGCATCAAGACTGTTATCCCAGATGGGTTAGTCAGAGATATTGTCAAATGTTGATCTTGTGATGACCACAACATGTATATTTACATATTTATCTAGTACAATTTTTAAAAATACACACAGTTTACATATATTTGTGTGATATAATTTAAGAAAGGCATGTACGCCAAGACAAGACAAGTTTGAGATCAACATACTTGAATGCAAGTCCCGTAATTGGACTATTTCCCGAGTTTGGCAGCGTTTTCATCTCGCCACTACGCTGTCTTGTCAGGTTACCGCGGAATAATGATACAGAACCATCTTGGAAACCAACAGCCAGGAGATTCTAAAAATATATAAGTTTATTATTAGGATTATAATTGTGTTATTAAGTTCCTATGTTGTCACTTATTACAGGAACACATTTTGCAAAAACTGATTCCTAGAATTAAATATCACACTGCTGAGCTTCTAGCAAGTTTCATGCTCTTTCTTCTTGTGACAACACTGCATTCCAATAAGTGGTAGAATAAAAAAATATGACTATTCAAAAGTGCTTATATATATTTTTAATAAGGATTATTTCTATGAATAACCTAATTTGGTATTTGCTTTTATGTAACAGGAAAATGTGGGTTGTTAGAAACGGGCAATACTGATGCTATTGCTAGCAATGTACAATGTGACAGTGAGTTATGCAAAAAGGATAATAAAATGAATGGTAGAAAGATAGTCTAAGAGACACCATTTCTACACAAAATAAGGCAAATATTTGAGAGTATAGAAAGAAAAGGTACTGGAGGGATTATAAGACGTAAAACTGTAAAAGGTTCCACAGCGTGCATCAGTCTGAACTACTTCAGCCGCAAAGCAGCTTGTTTTATAAACTGTGTTTAGGTTGAAGGGTGCAGATTAGGCAGAGAAATTACTGGATAAGCGGCATTTCAGTCCTATGGAATAGCGAGGTATGAGTGGTAACACTGGTGTCACATAATGTTTTTTTTTATTTATATCAAAGCTAAGGGAGCTTTACAGTTTCCCAATATGCTCACTTAGGAAAATATACACAAAATAATATATATGTTGATAATTAATAAAAATAAATAACAATAATGAAAACAATAACCAATTAAAAGTTTACCTATTAATAAGTAATGCATTGTCATTCTGCAATAAAATTTAATGACATTTCAAATACTAATTTAATGACATTAAAATAAATAAAGGCATAGTAACATGTTCATAGCTCAGAGTCACTCAGAGGGCAATGGAGAGGGCTATGCTCGCAGTTACTCTGCGTGATCGAAACAGAAATGAGGAGATCCGCAGAAGAACCAGACTGACCGACATAGCCTGAACAATTGCGACTCTGAAGTGGCAATGGACATGGCATGGCAGGGCACATAGCTCGTAGGACAGATGGCCGTTGGGGCAGTAAAGTGCTCGAGTGGCGACCATGGAGCGGAAGACGCAGCGTGGGAAGGCCTTCAGCAAGGTAGACCGACGATCTGGTCAAGATCGCTGGAAGGCATTGGATGCGAGCAGCGCAGGACCGGTCGTCGTGGAGATCTTTGGGGGAGGCCCATGTCCAGCATTGGACGTCTTCCGGGCTGCGATGATGATGATGATGATGATGATGATGATGATGATGAACATGTTCATACTGTCCAAGTATATAAATTTATGGACCTACCTTATTATCATTGACAGCCAATGCAGTGGCTGGGGTCGGTCGCATGTGTGATGGAACGGCGCGGCACACTCGCACGCACTTGGGGTTGCCATGACGGTCAGTACGGGACCAGTCCCACACCTTGATTAGTGGGTTCACACCTGCCTCATCATCCTGTTGTGAATAAAGTCAGTTTCATTGTAAAATATTACTTGAATTATATTATTGTTGTATAACAATAATTGTGTGTGTCTTTTATTGTCACCCTCAATATAACTCTTTGTCAAAAAAGTCTAATATGTAGGGTACAAAAATATAATCATTCCATGTAAGCCTCAATACAAGCATTCATATTAAAAAACATGTTTCTAGAATATAAATGTGTTTTAATCCATAATAATTATTTTACTGAATTTGTCTTACTAGGCATCAGTAAATACAATTATTATTTCTAGGTAACTGAGTCCCATACTATTTGCTAATATATTATAAGATGGGGCAGCCATTTTGTTACTGATGAATACATTAGCTATGCCCACGGTTTCACCCACATCAATATTTCAATATATAAATTTCAATAAAAAATATATTATGTATTGTGTGCCTATGTGATATTCTGATGTATAAGCTATATTACTGTAAAGTTTCATCAAAAGCCGTTCAGTAGTTTTAGAGTGAAAGATAACAAACATCCATACTTACAAACTTTCGTATTTATTTTTAACATAATAATATAATAATATAATAAAATCACATACAATTCAAACATGTTGTACAGTTGTACATCTTGAATATACTTTTTTTTTTTAGAATATGTATCTTTTTGTCTGTAGGTATGTGTATGCTACACTCAGAAATGTTTGTATGTGGTGCACTGATATAGTGTAACAATTTTCCTGTTACACATTGTGTTTATTTCACAAATAAATAATATATATATACTATTGCTAGTACAAATACCAAATGAACAAAATCACAAGCACATTTAGTATCTATATATGTATATACATATCTCAATAACAAATGATAACCACAAAATATTTTTAAAAATTTAGAATATTAACTTTTACTCATAATTTAAAGGTGTTTTCCCAAAATGTCCAATCATTTAATTAATGCTGTTTTGTAATGAAATCAATATAAATTAAACTAGTCTTGTTTACCTATATAAAATACCAAAATAAAATAAATAAAAGACAAAACAGATAATATTAATAACAGAGTAGATTACTGTACTACAATTAATATTCTATGTTCATTACACTACATTAATTATGTCTTAATACTTATCCAAAAATCTAATTCTTTAAATGAAACTTATCTGACATAACAAGTCACTTGAAAACTGAAATAGAGGGAACAGAGGTACCCATTCAAATTCAAAATTCTTTGTACAACATATACCTTAGTAATAGAAGTAATGATAAAAAAGATCTCAACTCACCCCTATTGTGACTAGAAAAGGATCATGTGGCAGTTGCTGTGCCAGTGATATAGTCAGTTCATATGCCTTGAAGGAGGTGATGTCCCAACAACGGGTGATGATGTGGGCCCAACCAGTCACATCACCGAGGATTACATGACCATTGCCACTTGTTGATACTGTTATGTGTGTGTCCTGTTGAAAAAAGAAATGTTTATAAAACAAATGGTTTAACCATCCAGAAATCCATTGATATATAAGACACAAAATTTAATCCAAAAATCAGTCCACACATTTAGGTGTTATGTACAAAATACACTTAAAGATTTGTATATATTAATATATTGGAAATAATAAAGTTATGACAACTATGATATTCAATACCAGAGTGAATCATTTTTTTTTTATGTTTTCTATGTATATTATGTATAGTATTTAAAAAAATGCAAAGTATTCTATTAGTTGTCAGTTAACACACATAATAACACAAGTTCTGCTTAGCTTGGGACTAGCTTGGAGTGAGTGAATTGTGCCAAGTTGTTAATATTATATTATTTTTATTGTATTTAATTATTACAAAAACCTGTAAAGACTCTGCTATCTTTCCATTGTCCACCTTTTCATGAATATCGAAGAAAGTGAATTTTCGCCACTGGAATAAAACAAGACTTTTATTAGCTGGTTGCTCCATCAAAGCCATTAATATATATTATAACACTAAGTAAAACATTTAGAAACACATATCTATATAAATTAAATAATTAAGTTCCACTGTTTGGGTTAGAATTAAAATAATTCTGGGCGTAATTATCAAACAATGGTTGTTGTTAAATCATTCCATTAAACTGCACCTCCAAAAATGCCATATTGGTAGTTTTTATCTAAACGTTGGTCATTTTATTGACAAATAGTTATCACTTATCAAATAATTAAAACTCGTTAATTATAGAAATATCAATAAATAAAATAAAAAGTTGATTGATTTTGAATCATCTATATATCAGACAGCGAACTGTCATTTATTATCAATCACAGTCAATCAACACAATGTCACTAACTACTGTCAATGTCAAAAAAATAAGGCAACTATTAAACGGAACCAAAAAAAAATAAGGCAACTATTTAGGTAGTGATGTGCTAACTCGTAATAAACATGACTCGAGTTAACTGGAGTTGACTCGTTGAGTTACCTGGAACAAACAGTTTTTTTTAATTTTTCGAACAATTCTATTGTTTTTAACCGCAGCTGTCCTTGAAAGCCTTACCGCATCATAAGGGGCGAGTTGAAATGGCACTTCAAACCCGCGGAAGAACTTATGGAGGGCATGCATGCCGCTGGAGGTCAACTTCTCCTATTTAAGTGCTATGTTTTTAATATGAATCAATAGCGATCTCGTTCTTCCTACATATTTAAAATGTATCTGAGCATTTTTTACATTTTACACTTCTACCCACTGGCGATTCGAAAAAAATAACAACTGACAACCGCTAATATAATAATTTTAATGGTATCATAACAGTACGAGTATGGGAAAAAAAATGATAACAACCTCAAATCATTATATAATAATATAAGTATTTTCTGGTTCGAGGGACCCATTCGTGCAATTTTTTTCGAACTATTCTAATAAAAATGACCGCACATTGTAGCAATTATTCTAATATAGATACCTAATCGCAACTAGCCTTTACAGTTTCACTGGTTGAAAATAAATGCTAGTGCAGAAGGCACTGTAAACCCGCTGAAGGACTTATAGCTACAATCGCCGACTGAAAGACACGATATTAGACCTAGGTAACAGCTAGACGTCAGGCCACGGCTAGGGCTTATAATTTCGATCCCAGTTATGTTAAGACAGAGGATCGATCCAAAGGGATTTCAGTACAGTTAAATATGTATGTAGTCTGACTATCTTGGTGATCTGGAAAGGATAATATAATATTTATTATCAATGAGCGCCATTGTGATAACCCACGACAGGTTGATATGATCTTGACATTAGACGGCGCTTTGTATATTATCCAGGGTTATTATTATTATGATATGAAATTATTTATAAATAATATTGACAATTTGTGTTACCTAATCGAGGTGGTAAATCAGGATGTATGAGAGTACCTTTTCTGATACCATTATAATAATAAAATTTATTAGTCACAGTACTCTGTCCATCGAAGTCTGTTTCATCTATATCAAGAGGCAATACAGTAATGTTACTACCTCTTGTTGTTGTAGAATTTTTGCCACACAGATATTTGGGTCTCCATATTTTTTTTATCATAGATATTCCTTTTCTTTCTTTGCTAAAATGTAGTTTAGAAGTTACACAGTAAAAATTAAGGTATGCTTATTTTTCAAACACGGTAATTTTTTTCAATCAGACTGATGACCATTTTCCCTAATCTTTCCTATGCTACGCAAAAATGTAGGGGAACGTAATTGATTGTTAATAGTTAGTAATGTAGACTAATGATCTAATATCTAGCAATGTACCAATGCAATGTCTATGCGGTTCCTCCTGGGAACCATCGTGATAAGTTCCTGGTGAATTTGTCACGATGAGCTGACCAGACCTCACGCTTATCTTAGCAGTTACATCCATTATACATAATCGTCCATAAAAAAGCCAAGCATTATATTATTTGATTATAACAAGTTAGGTCTATCGTCAACTGGCGATTTTGAAAACTGTCTTAGTTAATACCAAGTTTATTCCTTATGAGGACTAACTGAACTGACTGCATTGATCCTAGCATATTCCACTGGTGCTTCGCTAGTATTAGGCAGAGGCATAATGCGAGCAATGTCAAGTATGTCCGTAAATTTTATAGTAATACCATATATAAACCAAACAAACCTTGGAAATATTGTACTTAACTTCGGAATCGATTGAGGATAATTTGGGTAATAAAACCAATAGTAAATATAATTTATACCGTTTAGCAAAATAATCACGGCGACAAATAATATTAATATTCTTAAAGTGTGTGTCATATTTGTACAAACAATATAATAAATTACATTTCGATATATGTTTATAATAATTATATAAACAAAAATGGTGACAAGATAGCACTAACAATGCTATGTCTATGGTGCAAGTTACTAACTTTTTCGCAAGTAGGTATCACGGTTTTTTATTACTGAAAACGGACTATGGCGGAAATACATTTCTGCCTTACAGTTACTTTGCTTACAATATGTGCTTAGGTACACAAGCAGGGCAATATTTTAAAACATGATATTTTCAGGACAGGATGTAAGTAAATCTAGTCCTTAATTGAATAGATAGAGTTCAAAATACTTATAGGTAAATTACTAACGCACTGTGATGTTTAATTCCTTGATACATATATAGAGTGGACGCAGCAACAGAGTAATGAACGAACGTACGTACACTTTCATCTTTTGTAGAGTATCTTTATAATGAGAAAGCCAATTGAAGATAAACAAAGAAAAACATTTTTGACGTAACAAGAATGTCATTTTGGTATCAACGCGTATGTAGTATTTAATATTTTTTGCTAAATTTTTATTGTAAGATGCCGAAATATTACAGGTTCAGAGCGACGACGCCCACTCGGAAGCCAAAACGATGCAGAGACAAGGAAAAGGAAACGGAAATACAGAAGTAAGTTATGATTGGACTTTTATCATAAACACATGATCTCATGATAAGGAGATTGCCTCCGGGATATATCCATGGACAATGATTCCATTACACGCACCAAAGTACACTTTGTGAAGGTACTTCAGTCTTACCTATTTCAGTGGCCTAGCAGTTTACTTTGCAAGATGTGTTTTAGTTGAAAGGTAGTGAAATTATAAGATATGAGCCATGACATTTTAGACCTCCGGAGTCGACGGTAACGATTTGCCATTAGGGAGGCATTTTTTTTTCGGACTACTCTAATGTTGTTGGCCGCAGCTGGCCTTTACAGCTTCACCGGACGTTAGGGCTGAAGGCCAACTCCTGCCTGACGGATATGATTCTAGTCTGACGGCACTACTAGGGGTTCGAACGTCGGCTCAGGCCGTCGTAATATCGATCCCCGTTTTAATTGGACGGGGGATCTATCGGAGGGGATTAGGGAGGCAACAGTTTGTTTGCTAATTCAATTACTTAGAAAAATACTCATACTTGTTTTCTATTAACGATATTTAGATACCTATTGACGATAAAAGATAGTGAATTTATACATAGTTGGATCCACGATCTCTTATTTCGCTTCGATCATTGTAGAGGTCTATATAAAACACAGTCAACAGTAAAACCAAAATACTCATTAAGAAAAGTTCTGTATATGTCCTATAATACAACAAACCTTTAAATATTTATCTCCTCAGTTCTTCGTACAGTTCGTTTGATAAATCACTGAGAAAAGATTTTTTAAATTGTTCACACTGTATAAACAAGATAGTATTTACTATGATAATGTTATTTAATAGCTTTAGATTGTTGGCGCTGTTACGAAACATTACTAAAAACTGCATTAAAATCCTAAAAGACTACCGAACAGACAGCGGAAGCAAATTGATTTTATAATATTTAAAGATCTACTTAGGTACCATTGAAGAAAACTGTAAAGAAAGTTTTAAACAGATTTTTGGAAGTTTAAAAAGCATAGTATAACTTCCGAAAGGCAAGGCAGGTATCTAAAAATCTTGAGTTTGTAAATTGTCACAATTTTTGTTTATAGAATCAAAATAGACGCTGAAAGAAATTGGCTGGATGTGACACTAGCTTGCACACCAGCGCCCTCCTGGTATCTACGGCGTACCTCATGGCGGGAGAGTCCGCCATTAATGGGTCTTCCACGGGAATTAGCTGCGGGTCTCCGAGCATCAGTTCAATTAAGCAACCGCCCTATCTTCGTCTTCAAGATCCCATCAAGTACACTCCCTCCGGATATGAATGTTCTCTAAGATTTCAGAATTCGAATTCAAAATTATAAGTATGTCATTCACCTTATTACCTTATAGAAATGTTAAAGGGTGGTGGTAGTTTGTAAAGGGTTTTAATGTCCATCATGTTTGTAATTCCGTGCTAAATAAAAATATATTACTAAAATGGCAGTGATCGTGTTATTTATTTTAGTTGTTTTATATTAACCTAACCATATTACTTATTTCAACATTTAACTAGCCGTCAGTTATTTTTATATATTCTTCATTGAATAATTCAATAGATAAATATTGTCAGCAAGTAGGACTTACCTCTAATTGGTCTTACCTCTCTTCCAGTCAACCTAAAACAGCGTGACCCAGAAATTAATATAAGACAAAAGTACGTTTTTCGTTTTCTAAGGTTGTTTAATTACCTATAATGTTCTAAGGTTTGTAATAACGATGACTATTGACCCAATAGCAGTATATTAAGTTATATGGACTCGTACGCGGTCATCTCCTGGAAATCATTGTTTTTTTAAAGCATAATGGACCTAACAGTATGAGTTGGTGGGGCAGTCGAGGATGATATAAATGTGTGGTTTATTCCTGGTACCTTGACTGACTTCATGCTCATGTGCATCTTCATAGGTGCCTTTCCATAAACATCCATTTAAAAAGTTTAAATAGAAAATCTTGCATAATGGCTATGAGGTTGTCAATAAAAAAACATATTTCGTATGAAAAACAAATAAATTTTATTCAGAAAAACAAATTTCGACATTAAAAACCGCATAATCAAATAAATATCACTTTTTTTAAGTAACTCAATGGTATCTAACGTCTAATATTCATCTACGTTAGGTATAATTATTATCTATGGTTTTGGATTTATAAGCTGGGTTAAATCTAAGAAATAAGTTAACATTTTTCGCATGTATCAAATACTAAGATTCCGTTTGTAAACAGATTGTGGAAATAAGATTCGATTAGATTCTAAGTAAATTGTTATAAGCTAGTTTTTGGCCTTAGGTAGGTATTACGTGTTTTTAAAGACAAAAGTAGTTATAGCACTCCTGGTACAAACTTGTTAGATAATTTTTTTTAAAATTTGTTTTTATATTTATAAATTTAGAGTGCATTTTCCACAGTTGGTATAAAATTTTTGAGTATATCCACTCTGTGGTAATACGTGAAACGTTAAATGTCAAATTAGTTATCGAACGATGTGTTTGAGGACGTTCAAATAAAGATAGTTTTCGAGAACGTTTTATATATTATTATAAAGCATGCTTAATAGTAAACGACAATATCTCTAAAACTACAAATGTTTGAAATTCGTCTTTAATGTATTTCCTTAACGTGGAATTTACAAAATTTGTAACGTTTAAGTTATGTGAGTAGAGTTATTAGGCGAGCGACAAAATAACAAAATATAATATTAAGTTATTGTCAATGATATTTTGTCTTCATTCAAATCAAATCATTGTTTTGTACTTGATAAATCACTTAATACCTGCTGAGGCCAATGTTGCTCTAATGAGTAATATTATTGGTATAAAATGCCTATATAATTTTCGATACAATTATACTATTGACTTTATTACTATGCTTATTATCATCTTTTCGACACTGACTGGTCCTTCGAGCCGGATCTGAACATTACAATATCCGCTTAAATAAATATTACAATAAGTAATATTTAGCATTGGTCTCGTATATTTATTGTAATATTCTTACATTTTCATACATATGTATAAATATTACAGTAATAATAAGACTTGTAAAATTTCATATTAAAATGATATTTAAAAATTATTACACTCAACGCATTCATTAACATGGTATTGTATCTCATATGGATAGACGTTTATAAAACGGCGATATCTAAAGACTGATTGTGACATATGAATAATAATTACTATTTAATGATAAATTCCAGGTTGACTAGCTTTTACCCACGATTTCGTTCGACTCAGCCTAAATGTTTTCTATTTCAAATAATTCAACACCAAATTTAATCTAACCGTCTAGTAGTGAAAATAAAGCAAATAATATTTAAATTATAGCCAGTCAAGATCCTGCAAATCGTTACTTAGGGCGTACGTGGGCTCACTTCATCAGAACATTGTAACAATATCATGATGTTTGAGACTAAAAACACTTAGAAGTAAACAAACGAACATATAGACAGGACTCAGTTATACATTATTAATATTAGTATGGACAGAACATATGGTGGTATAATAAGTATACCACATTTTCAATTACAGTGTCTACTATAACAATGTGGTTGATATAGCTATCATATGTACCTATGTTACAAAGTTAAATGACATTGAAAATACAGATAACACAGAAAAAAGTGTAAAAAATACATCATTATCACTGACCATGAAAAATTCAGATCATTAGAAATATAATAATTTATTTTGCAAAATATAAATAATGAAGCATAGGGCTATGACAATAAATTCAGTCCTAAATATAGGCCAACCTAAAGGTAAGCCATTATTCATAGTAGATCATTATAAAAAAAACTTATATTTTATAATAATACTTTTGCGAATTTGCCCACTCATTCCAGTTTGTCTATTATTAGTATATAATAAAATATTAAATAAACATGTAATAAAACGAGCGACATATAAAATATAATGACTAAAATTTCAACTTACTACACAAAAATCGTGTATAAGTTCATTCTGTTATGTTTCATAAAATATTAAATTAAATTTAAATAATTAATAAATAAGGCAAAAAATTTTCATTCTCTTATATATTATAGTAATTCATCGCATTACAAAAATAATTTGTATATTTTATATAGTGAATTTCGTGCCTGAATCGTAGGTACTTAATGCTGTGTATATTCGTCACGATATATTAGCTGACCTGGGTACATTCTCATTTTAACATACTCCACTGGTGCCTCGCCAACCTAAACCGTTAGACAATTTCATTCTCATCCATAAAAAAAATGCTGGCAACAATACAATAAAAAAAAAGTTTATAAAACTAAATATTTTGGCTATGAACAACGGCTTACACTTTTACAATAATTATCAATACTATTGGTATCACAATGTATCCCTTACATCTAGGTAAATACGGAAATTATAGTTTTTTATTTACAAAGTAAATTCATTTAGCGATAATTAGTTACATTCATGAAATTATGGAACAGTTACTTAAGTTTACTATCTATAAAAAAAAGCCTATGGAATGTAGTTTTTAAAAGCCAATGATAGTGTTTGATAAGTAGCAGTAGATACTATTACCACATTCACTTCAATGTTTTTTTTCAGTATGCAATAATTCAGATCTAAAATTATGTTAATAAAAAAAACAATAATATTTGACTAGTCCTTACCATTATACCAACATTGTTTTTAGCACTTTTCTGTACGTTCTTTACATCGAAGCGATTACTTACAATGTAAACTTATGTCTACAACAAGCTATATACATGTATTTTCCAAATATCATTAAGTACATATTCATTATTACTATTATTATTCGAATTTGTTAACAGTTTAATTATGGAAATACGGAGATTCAACAGATTAATAAGTGCATAAAAACTAGTGCATTTATTATCTCTGAGGTACATATTTTATATACATACATATAAACATGTACGGTGAATATATAGGAGTATTTTCATATAAAAGGATTAAATAAAAGAAAAGTGATGTTAGATATAAAGAACAAAATTGAAATTTGCGAGGTTCTATTATGAGATTAGGCCGTAATCGACAACACCTACAAATTTTATCATAATAGGAGCAACAAGATACCATAGTGTTTATTTATAAAACCACGCGACTCTACGATGGTTATGTAAAAAATGTATTAACGTTCGTAAAAGTTATTCCGTATGTCAATAATGAAAAGAAATACATTGAAATCTTAGATTAAGAACATCCTTAATTTAAGATTGGAATGCGTTTTGTCTATGAATAGTCTTAGACAGTTGTTAATGACAAGTTTAAACAAAAAGACAATTTTAGAATTGGAGTCCAGAGTTAGTAAGCTTGTAATAACAAGCTTATGTATTCTATAAGCCTCGTGCTTCTATTTCTTTGTAACTTAGTTTGTTTTGTATAAAATATCTTATAATAGTACTCTATGATTCGTTACTGAAATTTACAAATTTTACGTAATATTGTCATAATATGTTCTTAAGATTATACAGGACCAAGTTACATTTATTAACATGGACATATAATTATTTTTATTTCCATATCTCAAATGTATAAAATATATCTATACAATGAGTCTAAAGCAAATGCTTCAATCCGATATATTAGGAGTTTAATACAATATGTAAAATTTTCAGAGTGTGACATCTTATTATTACAAGGGCCATAGACAAGAGCAATGACTTTCTATCATGGTAGTTATTTATATAAATTATGATTACAAATCATAAAATAACACTACAGAGATTTATAAACAACGACTTTTTAAATTGTACTTAATATTGTACTTATAGAACATTATAAAACATTTATCCAAAGATTTATAAGTTTATTCACCAGCGTATAGTATAGCTACTTTAATTTTATTAAGGAAATACAAGAAAGTCACCGTATAGATAGGCTATTCGACTTACTTTATTTATTGTATCTGATATTTTACTTTGTTCCAGCCTTACACTACGTTATAATAAAAATAAAAATGGACAGCGTTAAATAAAAAAAAAAACATACATTGTAAATTGAACGGCATAATTTCATTTTCACACAACAATAAATAAGTATACTTAAAAATAAAAAAAACTGTATATACAGGAAAACTTCATATCATAATTCGGGTTTAAAATACAACAGAAGTGTCAATATAAATAGATTTTTTAATTACAGGAACCAGTTAGGTTGAGTTTTTTAACTTCAATTAATGATCTCAATTATAATGGAGTCACACTGAAATAAATTATCAGTCAACATTCACACAAACACTTTCCAATATGTGTCTAATAGCATTGTCGATATATTTACATAACAAGCTGTTTTGAATATCTAAAATATACATATTTTCCGTTAGGGGGAACTAATACAGCAGCATACCGACAAATCTGTGTGAAGTTTACAATTTTGATAAATATATAGTTTTATATAAAAAGGAGGTCACAGTTCTACAGTAGACCACTATCGGACCTTACACCTTTCACTGGTTCTGTTCGACACGCGTTATTAAATATAAACAAAAACTACGAGTACTAATTTTTGTATAAAAATCAATCGTACCATGTTTTTCAACGATATGATACAAGCCGGCAATTTCCCATTAATTATGCCAAGTCAATTAAAATTTTGAATGTTGTTATTTATGTTAGTTATCAAAGGTTAATACTAAATGAGTACATATTCTATTATTTTGGATCATTTTGTCTGAGAGGTTTTCAACAGCATCTACGTCACTTTTTTTTTCATTGAAATAGCAAAATGTACCTCGCCCATACAGCCCCTGTTTTATAGGTCAAACTATTCTATTAAAATTTCTTCAATAGTCACAAATCTGAAAATTCAAATCTATTCTGATTAACTGACTTGACTATTTAAAAGGAGTTGCCAAGTTAGTCATATTTAAGTTAAAATTTACCTGGGGTTGAAGTAAAATATTTTTGCTTTTAACAAAAAAAAAATACACACAAACTGCACCTGTGGTATCTATGTAAATTTACGTCTGTTTTATACTCGATTAAAATAATAAGAGATCAAAACAAATATAGGACAACTAATGAGATTTTCACAAAATGTCCACACTGTGTCAGCACTATTGCACTTTTGTTACCGTTCGTCGCCAAACAGCAGTTTGGCGAAATATGTCCATCAGCTACGCTCGTCAATGTTCACCAGTATGTGTGTATACAGGTGGTTTTGAACTACTTCAACAAGTTCGTATTTGAGGGTAGATAGTCCATCGTTGTGGAATATCTTGCTAGTTTGCGATAATAATTGATATCTGGAAAAATAATTAGCAGAATGTTAAACACAATGTTCATAAGAAAGAAAGTATGGAGGCATAAAGGAGAGGTCTTTGACTACCAGTACACAAATTAGATTTAAAAAAGTAATCGTCTTAAAAAAAAACTCTATTGGTTCTATAACCATGTTAACGTCATTAAAAACTTAGTGGTTATTTGCTTAGTGCGTCATTATCATAATTTTGTCACAAGGAGACTGCGTGGATCAGTTTAAAATGTAGAAATGTTTATGTTTGTCGAAATTAGTAATATATTACGACCATAAAATTTATTACAACCAAACTCAGTTGGTGTTATAAATATAATTTTCGTTACCTATACAATTTGGTTACAATAAAAATATAATGAATATAAATATTATAACAGTCCGAGAGATGACAAACAAGTAGGTACTTTCAGGATAGAATAGATAACGAAGTAACATCGTTATAGATTATTGTTTGGGTCGCCTTTAATTTTATTATTTAAATAACGACAATATAATTATTACAATAATATTAGTAACTTTACCTTTTGGGATTGGGTGCTGATTTTTTGTGATCTAACATAGCATATCGTGCTATAGACATCTTATATCTTGCTATGTGATAATTCATCTTTTTCAACCTGCAGAAAAAATATATTACTTATTCAATTATATTCTAATTTTAAAATTTTATTTTGTTTTAATTGGATTTTAAGATATGATTGCTTGTTATCTTATTATAAAGAAAAAAAGAACCTATTTAAATTGTTATCAAATCAGCTTGCTTTAAGGTACTAAAATAAAAAAATTAATAACTATAAGATATTTATGTATTCAATTAACGATTATTTTTTCATGTACTAGTCATGTGTAGAAAGATCATTGCAGTAAGTGATACCCTAAACTAGTTGATATAGATGTGAGCATATTCAGAATATTTTCTTGAACTACTTTTGGCTAACTACGATGTAAAATAAATGGTAAAAATATTTATTTATTTTATCCATTTAAGAATATACATTCCTTAGTGAATATTTATTGCGTACCAACATACGAATCAAGTTGGCAAAAAAAATTGAATTTAAAATCAATTAATTTCTACTGTGGGATATGATGGTGGTAAATTCATGGTGTACAAACCTATAGAACATGTCGTCATCTTCTCCACCCCAGCCCCAGTACTTGTTGGAGAAGCCGTTGACATTAACAAACTGTTCTAGGGTCATTGCTGATACACCGCCGAATATATCTTCGTATGGTAGCCTAAAACGAAGAGTAAAAAATCAAATCATATTTTTATGTAACTCTATCATTACCTTTTTATAGGTATCTTATATATAAAATTCTCGTGTCACAGTTTTCGTTCCCATACTCCTCCGAAACGGCTTGACCGATTCTCATGAAATTTTGTGAGCGTATTGAGTAGGTCTGAGAATCGGCCAACATCTATTTTTCATCCCCCTAAATGTTAGTCCACCCCAAAATTTTTTTTCTTATTTTTAGGCAAAACAACGTTTGCCGGGACAGCTAGTATACTATACAATTAGCCCTCCCGGCAAATCGTTGCTTTTAAATCGTGGTAAGAGTTAAAATTTAGGGTTGCGTGTATTTTTTAATTGCACATTATAAAAAAGTAAAAAAAAAATGTTAGGGATGGACAACCCTTATCGCTTGGGGGTATGAAAAATAGATAGTAGCCGATTCTCAGACCTACTGAATATGTATATAAAATATCATAAACCGTTTCATTGACCGATGGCAAGCCGTTTCGGAGGAGTATGGTAACTAATTTTATATACAAGATGTATAATTATGTACAATATGAAATTGTTTCTTGGCCTAAATGAATAAAAAAAAAATAGGTGCTTACCTAAAGTTTAGTTTGTCTATGGACGCTGACATGTGCCTCGGCTGTCTAGGGCAGGAGTACATATTCCGCATGTCCAGCGGCAACAGGTCGATGTCGTGGAAAATGAAGCACTGCCAGCCACCGGCCTTCTGCTTCTGACTTTCCATGAAGCCGACGTTCATTAGCTTAGCGCGGTTGAATTCACTGTTGCCTGGAAAATAATTTTAGAGGGATTTCTAGTAGTAAATAAGAACTATACATAAAGATACTATTTAGGATCTAAGTTGGAAATAAACAGGGACAAATGCACTTGATACAACACGATTAACTTATAAATATTATCAAAGGAAAAATAGAAGGAAAAAGAGGAAAAACAAGACTAAGACACTGCCTATATATAGGCCTATATTCAAAGAAAAAGTTGAAGTCGTTTCGTATCAACAACTAAAGAGATTGATGGAAAATAGCAAGTGCTCCATTTCGATTGATTAAGTTGAACAAAAATGGAGAAAAATATTAGAAAAAAAAAAGAAAAATAGAAGAAAGGTGAGATAACTAATAACTATATCAAGCAATCGAGGAAAAAGTTGGAGTGATGTCATATCAACAACTAAAGATATTCATGGAAAATGGCAAGAGCTCCGACAAGAGCGCGGCTCTTAAATTATGAATGAATGAGGATTTCATTCCTCTTATACTGTAATTTCACTGCCTGTCTGTCTTATCTGAACTTTCAATAGAAATGCAGCATACAAAGCAAGTTGCTTAGACTGAAATTCCCACCCAGACAGAGGTCTACCCCGTGAATTATTAAGATACAGTTATTGAGTATTACTCAGAAAACGATTACTTGGGAGACATTTGTGTTTAACGTTAGTTGTTCACGCACGGGATTTTCAATTTATATAATGTGTTAGACATATACGCTATGTAAAATAAAGTAAGACTAATTTTAAAAAAAGAATATTTTTTTTATTCTTTTAAGGGTTAGCGATAAAAAAATTGAAGTTGTTAAAAAGTCCTAGATAAATTATTGTGTTGCAAGTAAGATTTTTGTATAGATAAAAGTAAACTTTATCTAAGTACATAACAAAAATTAAAAAATACATATTTCTAATATATTGAAAATCGTGCCTGAATATTAAGTAAAAATAAAAAAGTACCTTCTTGTTCCACAATAAATATTCCATATTCTATTTGTTGCTTCATTAAGAATGGATGCATATGATTAAGAAATATCGCTAAATGTTGCTGACGATCCCTGCAATACAAATTTGGATGTTAATTATGATAATATCGAAGAGTTATATTGTTATTTGATATTAATAATATTAATAATTAATATTAATATGTAATTAACATATTAATATTAACTAAGGTACTAACTACACTAATTAAGAAGTAGGTAAGAAATTATTCATTACAATTCTTTTGTTTCACTGTAATTATAGTACCTCCCGCGTACACTTGGATTGTTGACTAAACTACCTTAAGAGGTTTTCTCGAGAGATTACAGCATGGGGTTATTCGAGAAGGGTGTGTTAAGGTTTCTAAAGGGTCGGTAACGTGAACGTGACACCGCTGGTGTTTCAGGTGTCTACGGTAACCGTTTAGAACCGGTAGATAGGCCGTATGCTTGTTTGCCATACCATACAAAAACTCTTTTTTTTATTCTATCACTCATTCGGAACGCAGATTGTTGTACAATAATTTATTGTCAAAAAAGAAAATAGCGTAAAAGATAAAAACAAAACGATGTAATAGCTAAAACAGACATTCTAAACATTGACATGAATTAAGGATTCTTGTGTAAATAAAGATGATTGATATAAATAAGGATTGTTATTTATACAAGTAGATGCCGTAATTACCTGAATGGCACAATAATGGCAACTTTGTATCTGGCGGTGCAGTTGGGGGGCGAGTATCGACCGCCCCGATGCACTTCTGGGTATTTCCTTTCCACCCATTCCAGTTCTACTTCGGTTTTGTTGACTGGGACAGGACCTGTATAATAATTAAAAAAATGAAAGTGAAATTTAAAGTATAATAAAGAACGACTTCGACTAAGATAGGAATTTCATAAATTGTTTCGGGCCTGGATATCTATGAATGATGTAGTTGTACTTTCAATACATATATATATATATATATATATATATATATATATATATATATATATGTATGTTTAGAGATTTTCTCTCCTTAATGGAGACTGTACATGGCACACGTAGATTAACAAAAATTTTACATTTACATAAATTAAGATTAATAATCACATAAATACGATAATAATTAGAAAAGAAAACAGTTGACGTGGCAAACGTTATATTAATCTTATGTTATCGTATAATTTTTTTATCAGAATCCGTTCAGTAGTTTTTACGTGAAAAATTAAGAAATAACCATCCCCGTCCATCCCATCCATACTCACAAACTTTCGCGTTTATAATTTTAGTAAGATTAGCTATTAAGTTTATGTTTTACTCACCTAAATCAGGTGGTACTTTATCACAAAGTGGCAAAGCAGGTTCTGTTCTCTGAATTTCCAATTCTTCAGTTGTAACGAGATTCTTGATATTCTCCATCAGTTTTGTGATGAGCACCGATGTACTGGTGTCTTCTGTTAAGTTTTGTCGCGTCATATTTGCAGTAGTTATGTTTGTGGAATTATATTTTATACTATTAATAGTAACGTTTTTGGCGTACGTCGAATTATTGGCTTGTGTAGAGTTTTTGGGGTACGTAGAATTTTTAGGCCGTGATACCGACGTTTTCTCACATCTGAAAGAAAAAATATTATTTTAATAATTAAGAAACAAAGCAAACTCCAAATTTTTAACTTAAAGGGTCCAATCTGAGAATATACTCTTTCAAATATTTTTTTCATATTAAGCAGTTTATATATACCTTGATAGTTTCGTAGCGGAACCGCGTGGAGGTCGACCTGATATCACATTGACCTTACAAGACTCCTATCCCCAACGTTTATAATATTAGTACCTATAGTTTTATTCAACGTTGTGTTTATAATATATGTATATGTTACATATATTATAAACACAATGTTCAAAAACATTTTATGGTTTTTATATCTTACCGTATAGTGGGCTGCGTAGCGTTGTATAGCGGGGTGTACAAATAAGTCCTGAGTGGTGATGCGTCAAGTATAGACCCGGAGAGGTATTCCACAGCGGCGAGGGCCAACACGAGCAACAGTAGGAAGCGAAGCGCGCGCGCAGCTCGCCCGCCGCCCCCCGCCCCGGTGCTCCCGCCCATCAACGCATATGGTGTGCTCGGGTATACGCCGACCCCTGTGGAACAATATGAACATACAATTCATCAAAAAGACGTGTTTGAGTGTATTTTTTTTAAAAAATATTGACTAAGAACTCTTCTTGTGATTTAATTTTAAATGTTCGAAGAATCATTCTGTTGAGAAGATCAGTACTACGCATTTTACGCATTCGAACTGCGAAATAACGATTTTTGTAAATGCCTAAGTCATCTGGAATTTGGCGTTACATCATTATGTAATATTCGTCATGCTTTAAATGAACAGTCATGCTCTTCTAGTTATATAAAAAAATATAACTGAAATTAAGACTGGCAAACAGAAAAGACTATATAAACTTTAGTCTTCACGAATAAGCCTAGTACAGTACAGAAATGTAACGTTGCAGTCCAATGAACCGGAAAAGATGCTCATAATTGGGTCCAGGAAAGGGTCTCGAAAGCATGCATGTGTAATAATAAAATTATTAAGGTTAGTTACTAGGGTTACCAACTATCCCGATTCAACCGAGATGCCCTGATTTCAGACTTGTGTTTCGTATACCAAAGATTGTCGTGACGCCAAAAATCCCAATATTCAACATGTGTCATTGCGACAATGTGAGTGTGTTACATGATCTCTGTGCAAGTAGAATCTAACTCGAGCATCGAAATACGAGGGTCAAACTGAAAGTTCTTAGAAAATCAAAAACTGATTAAATTAGCAAGTTATTACCTTTATTTTATCTTTTCAAAATAGTGTCCATTCACGTCAATACATCGCTGCATCCGATAGAACCACTGAGAAAAGCACTTTGCCCACTCGTCCTTTCTCTTTGACGGCCTTCTAAAACGTAGCCACCGAATCCTCGGCGTCCATAAAACGATTTCCTCGAACTTTTTCTTTCATTTTTCGGAATAAATAAAAATCGCAAGGTACGAGGTCGGAGCTATAAGGCGAATGACCCAGTGGTTCTACGTCTGAGGTCGCCAAATAATCGATCATTTGCCTGGCGGTGTGCAACGAAGCATTGTCGTGGTGAAGGAGGATCCTACTGCGAGGTCGTTTCTCACGCACTTTTTTAAAAACACGTGGCAAACAATTGTTACTGTACCACTCTGCAGTAACTGTTTTTCGATCCTCTAAAACAATTGTCGCGTAATGACCTGTTCTTCCAAAGAACGAGGCCACCATCTTTTTTCCTATGCTTCGACCTCCCTTCACTTTAGTTGGCAACTCCTCAGAAGGAAACACCCACTGAGCTGACTGTCTTTTAGTTTCGGAATCATAACAGTAAATCCAGCTTTCGTCTCCCATAACTATGTTAAACACAGAATTTGAGTCACCTCCGTTAAATCTTTCATGCATTTCACGGCACCAATCAACCCGACGGAGTTTTTGAGCCTCAGTGAAATTATAAGGTATCCACCGGGCACAAGGCTTCCTGACCGTCAAATGTTCATGGAGGATTTTGTGCACTTGACTCATACTAATCTTTAAGCTTGCCCGGATCTGCTAATAGGTCACTCTTTTGTCAGTCTCTATCATACGCCGCACAACACGGATGTTATCTTCGGTTGTCGCCGTAGAAGGCCGTCCCTCACGCAAATCATCGGTGAGATTAGTGCGACCACGTTTAAACTCATTAAACCAGTTGTAAACAGTGGCACGAGACGGGGCTTCATCGTGGAAGTCCAATAGTAGTCTATCATAACTTTCTTGTTGACTTAGATGACATCGAAAGTCATAAAAAATCATCACACGAAAATTTTCTCGTGTTAAGTTCATGATAACGTTACACAGACTATTTTCAATTTGCCGCCAAACCGTAAAACACATGACATACGAATAAATTATATACTCAGTACTATTCGTAAAGAGTTCCATTTTCAAAATTTTAACAAATTTTTTTATTATATTGCTCTCAAGTAGCCAGTTCTAAAAACTTTCAGTGTAGCCCTCGTATTAATGTGATGTGGCATTAAAAAATAATAGAATTTTTCCTTCTAGAATTCCGAATTCATTATAAGAGATGGTCAGTCTATTATTGCTCAGCCACGCGGTGTAAAGTATATGGATGTATTTTATTCAAGACTTTACTTAAACCGTGCCAAGAAAACAGATATGAACACAAGGGAAGCCAATGTGACATTCTACTCGACAATTTCCGGAGTTTAAAAAGGGTTGAAGCAATAAATGTCCTAGTTAGACGTAGGATTACTATATACGACGAGGGTAGGTAAACATTTCTTTAATTGAGGGATTTTTTTAAACAATTGATTGTACAAGAAAAAAGATTACATGTCTTTTTTTCTGCATTAAATTATCTAATTCGGAATATAACAATTATCTATTAATTGATGCGAGAAACAGTTTTGAGCCACTCCTATTCTTTGATTGGATAATATCAGAGGTATAAAATTTGGAACCCAATGGCTAGTAGGACGGGTGACAATATACTAGCCATATAGTTTGAAAAATACAAAACCATTGAAGATATGATCTCCAGGGAAGTAACTTCAAATATTGATTAGTAGATGTCTTAAATACCTTATTTTTCAGACGTCTGGTTACTTGCCCATAGCGTAGATGGGGCCGCAATTCAAACTACTATCAAATACAGTTTAATATCTTTCATGTTCAATCACATTTAGGATAAAGTGTGGCGACGTTAACAAACACTGCGAACTGCATAACTTTGATTCGTCGACTGACTTCTCTGTCGAAGTTGGAGCTTTCAAGTCTGATAAGTAGTTCCAGGTATTCCAGTCGCTATCATCGACAACTTGGCGACCGGATTGTATATTTACTATGGTAAATGCTCCACGTATTCGAATCAAGTCGAGACCCAGTTAAAGTATAAAGGCTCACTCGAAGAACATTTGGTCCGTGAATTTCACGGTTCCTTTACCATAGAGATATGCGGTCCGCTAGTGCAATTTAAATCCGATTAAATTACCCTACTCGTGGAGTAGTCTAAGATCTTATATCTGGACATTTATTCTAATTTAAACTTACCTTAGTTAGGTACTCAATTGGTGAATTAGAATGTAATTTTAATGTACTTACAGAATATTTATTACAACGAATTACATGATGCCTATTTATGTGTTGCTATAACAATTTGGATGTGCCGTTGCAGCCAGAGATTACACTGACATATCTCATTCTTCAAACTGGAGACGTAGGTAGCAATGCAAATCTCTCGCCGGCAGAAATGGTAAGACAAGGGTACTAAGATGATTCAGTTCTATTTACTAGATAAATATTACTACAGATTACAGAAAATACGTATGGATTAAAAAGTCTCTTAATATGTAAAAAAGTAATTCAAATAACTGGGGCTGCCACGTTGAGTTTCTACTTATCTCATGCTTATGATCGTACTTTTATAACGCCTGGAAATTTGGCGGGAAATTTTATACCATGATCCGGATTTAACTGGATAAATCTGATACAAACGGGGAACTCGTGGATCGTTTCAAATTCATGAGTATCGCTACGAATCCGAATGTAAATTATTACATTTGATTACGACTGTGGGTCTTGTATAATACTCCTTTTTCAAACTCATTCCCTATAAGTAAAGATTATCCAGCCTAGCCTCGTATGTTCATCCGTATAAAGTAGAATTTTGTTTATCAGGTTGCATAAAACTGTATTTAGTTTGATAAAGAATTTGATGAAATATTCTAATAAAAGGATTTCATTTCATCTGTAGATATCCACAGATGAAATGAGAAGATACGCAATATCTTCGTTCTTTCTGAACGGATATTATTTATTTATAATCAACTAGTTACCCGCTTCGGCTTCGCACTGTTGGTAGAACCTTCCTCTGGAATCACTCTATCTATTGCTAAAAACTGCATTAAAATCCGTAGCGTAGTTTAAAAGATCTAAACGAATAGACAGCGGAAGTGACTTTCTTTTTGTACTATGTAAAGATAAAGGCCGACGATAAAATAAAAAAAGAAATATGTCATTAGATATTTGTGACTACTATACGGTAAATATAATTTTCTATATAAACTCGCACAGTTTTTATTTGTGACTGAAACATCGATATCAAACCAAATATTAATCCTCTCTGACACATTAAAACCAAATATGGGCATGTCGAGTGTTGCGTTCACCATGACGTCGATAATTGACAATTCCTCTAACTACCCTATCTGAGTTAAGTCTTCACCGTATGTACATATATGTATGTTATAATTAATTAGGTCTGTGATAATTCTGAACTATTGATCATTATTGCTATTAATTACGTGACTAAAAAGAAGATTCTAATTATTATTTAGTATTGTCAAAAAAAGTATAACATAAAAGTAAATATTTGATTCAATAAATAGCTGTATAATTATAGAGATCTCCTTTCGTACGAGTACAAACACGCGTCGTGACACGCGAAAGGAAAAACAAAGGAAATAAGCAAACAGTGCTCTGTAAACAGATCGAAAAATAGCAATGAAGTTACTTTGTTTACCTTAAATAGAGAAATACGTAAAGAGGGAGGTCTGTGGAAGTGTCCCATTCTCTCACCGAAGCCTTCTACACAGCATGTCGATAATGGCACTCATATTTCTGAAACAAAAGAAACAATTATTTTTACCACAAATATGTAGGGAATGTAGGCACACTGGCATGTTTCTACCCTACGTCAGATCAGTGTTTCCCAAGTATTATAATGAAATGGTTCGTGTTTTTTCATGATTTCCCAACTCTTTTTATACTTCTAGTATATATAGGGAAAATAAGAAATACATTTTAATATCCATATAACTGTATTAAAGTAAAAATACGTACATCATTGTCTGATTACTACATTATATGATGTACAGTTCTTCTCAATTGATCAATATACCGAACTGGATGGTAGGGAAAAACAATTAAATTATAATGTAATAATTTGACGTTCATAAGCGGCTAAAATGTCCTACATGAGTAAATGATTTTTGAATTTGAATTTACAGTATTACTCCAATAACTTCGGAAAGGATGTTGTTAGATTTGCAGATTTACTCTTGAGTTAATATTTTTGTACTATTATTGTGAAATGTAATTAATCTATAACAATGTTAGTTAGTTCTTATTGACTACAAAACTTGGAAATAGTAAATTGATAGTGAGGCATGCCAGACGTCAATGGATTAGAATTAGTTTCCAGAGTAGATCAGTTGGACGACTACAGCGACCCTGTATTTTATTTTCATGGCCCGCAATAATATAGCGGTCCGCTATTTGGTAAACGCTGTACCAGATGGTTGTTTGTCTCGCTCTGTATACTTTCATTTCATTGTTTGTAAGGGTTGTCATCGAGTGGGAATAATATAAACGCAAAGTCATAATCCAGCTTTGTATTTTGGAAACAAGCGATGTTGTCTATGCAAAATTATTTATATGAATGAAAATAGTCTATTGATGTAAATGAATATCTTAATTAACCAACGACATACCATTAAATAACATCCAGTTAGTCGTATGCTCTTTTACATTAATAGTTGGAATATAAATATAGAGTCGTTCTAAATTAAACAATAAATTGTATTTGGTAATATATTTTAAGTAAACCAAAAGTACTGCTTGTTTATATGTAGATATGTTTATATGTATTAGTAAATGTAAATAATAATAAAAAATAACACTTGGATGACTGCGTGTATAACCTTACAACCACTTCTCTATAATATATATTTTTAAATATGTATAACACTAGAAAATAATTTTAATAAGGTCATGGTTAACTAGAACTAATGCTTATGGAAGAAGAAAATGGTAATTATTAAATATATAGTAAATAAAATATTAGTACTTTAAAAAACATGACGTAGGTACTTATAATGTATAATTAAACTCTGATACAAGTAAATATGTGAACAAATGCAATTAAACGATAATTATTCAACATTTTTAACACAAGGCTACGTATAGGTAAGTATCCCAAATATAAGCAAGTACCTATATCTGGCCTTGTATTAAAAAATATAGATTATGATTACATTTAAAATTAAAAATTAATTTTTTTATAAAATCATTTTACAGATTACATAAAGTACATACTTAAAAAATGGTAGAAAAATAATCTCTAGATAACATATTACGGAGCCAACGTTATCCGCAGGAGATTTTAGAAGCTTTACGGCTGAGTCGAGAGAAGAATCTAAAACAGCTTGATCCATCATCCAAAGGACCTATCACATTAAGCAGTCCGCAATCAATCCAAAAAATAAGTATATAAATACTAGGTATTCGGTAAAGTAATAAATTAGCAAATATGAATTTAAAATGCTGTTTCAATTTTATCAATACCTTCGTATAAAAGGCGGGAATTATTATACACAAAAAACTTATTTTTGAAAATTTTTATTATTGTTGAAATTATATTCCTTGTAAATAAGAAATACATTATTAAAAACACTCGCCTAAAGCATTTCCCTGCCTACTTAATTTTTTTGACAATCTCAATAATTCTAGAAATATATTTAAAAATAAATCACAATTTTCTTAAGTCTAGTAAGTTAGCTGTGACTTCCTGGGTAAAAACAATACTGAGCTCATAGCTCATAGGCAATTTGTACAGCCGCAACACATCAATAATTTACACACATTGTTCGGCATTTGCGTTGTACAGAACAGAACAGTCGTTTTATTTTAATTCTATTACTATTTTTGTAATGTCTATTATTTTATTGTATGTGTTCTGAAGACACTAATAAATAATTTATCTATGTAATTCAGAAAGTTCCAAATGTATATACTGTACACTGCTGAGGAAATTCAGTATGCGTCGTTAGTACTTAATTTAATTATATTATATTATATGTGTATAGGGCGCGAATGGAATCCATAGTAGTTTGTGAAAATACCGAAAATAGGATTGAACGAGACCTAAAATACTAAAATGCCTTTATAATTGTCGACACTCTTTTCCTTCCGTTTCCCTTGCTATTGTGAAAAAAGAAACGGTTGAATGGTTTTATTCATAAATGTTTTATTGCCCGTCGAAAATTCAATGGTGCATAAGATCACAATTTGTATTGTAACCTCTGTGGCAGTATTTGAGATGAGTATGTTTCAATTTACTGAACAATCCACTGGAATAACAGACATTTATTTTCTATATTTATTTGTGTTATTTTAGACACCTAAAATTACAAAATAAAAATAAACAACATAGTTCTGTTACTTTTATTTAATATTAGGAATTTGATTGTAAGCACATAGATAAACCATTCAAATTAGTTTTTTAATAATTTTACAACATCATATGTAAGCAAAATAAAATAAAAATCATAAACGTACATAATTGAAATTATATCAAACACGATTTTTGACTGAATAAACAACACACGATTTTATTATCTTTACCAATATTATGTTTGAAGCGGCTTTTGTATCAGAAATGAACGGAATAAATATAATTTCAGCTCGAATATTATATTTGCAATTGAAAAAATAAATATGTATAGATATGAATGTCTGTCTATATAAATTGTAATTTTACTTTCCTGTCCATCCAAAGGTAGTCTGGAAGAGATTGTTTAACGATAAGACCGCCTTATGTATCAGTTTATGTATATTGAAAAATAAAAATAAAAACGTAACCGTCGAACACAGTACGTTTATGATAATGTTCAAACTTTTGAATGAATTTCCATGCGATTTTCATACATCAGCAGAGTAATTTCTCAAGAAGGTTAATGTGTATAAATCATTAAAATTTGTATAAATTAATTGATATTTCAACCGTTCAGTTTTAAATAAAACAGTAAGAAGAACAAAAGATGCGTCAATCAATACAAAAATATCATACGAACTAGGAATGGTTAAGAAAATTCGCGCCAAACTGTTCCTCCATTTTTCTTAACGTAAGAGCGTATTCCATTTTATATGTTAGGGAGCGGGTACATTTGTCAATGGACAGATAATGTACGGTTTTACCAATTCCAATTCAAATAGGTGCTATTTATATTGAGGACAAATGTGATCGGCGCCGCAGAAGGGTCCTGGTAATATTGGGTTTCGAAATAGAGGAGGTTGGCTAATTTGTCTATCGTGTGAAGACTGTTTTAAACTTTTTTGACGGTCGTTCACAATTGTACACATAGTACAAACGAGATATTGACCATGAAATGAAATAATCTTTATTCAAATTATTTTATTTCACCTTATTTCATGAAAATATTATTTGAAGAGATTATTATTGAACAATTTATAATTGAATAAATTTTAATATTATATTATTGGACAATTCACACAGCGCCATGTAGTCTCAATGAAAGCAGAGCTTGTGTTGTGGGTACTAGAGTGATATAGTTTTTTTTTTTAAATAAATACATAACATAGAGTAGAACAAACAGGCCAATGTAAAAAATCATACTCAAGATTACAAATCTGTGTACCGTGCGAGGTAATCAAACCCGCAACCATTTAAAGTAAAGCAGAGTGCTAAACCGCTAGACAACCGAGGACTACAATTAGATCCTATATCCTCACAGTAATCAAACCTAAATCTAAATCGGGGTAATAATATAATATTATTATTAATACCTAATGTAATAATAATATAAATGCTCTCATGAATTCTTATATATGTAGCACACATATATAAGAATTCATGAGAGCATTTTTAGTATGCAAATGTGGGTCACCAGTGCATCGAAATTTACTTTAGTAGATAAGTTGTAACAGGAGATAGAACATGAAAATTTATGCGTATTAACTTCCGAGCTTGATTCGTGACAGTTTCATGAAATATGGGATTGTTAAGGTGGATAACAGCGATGCAAATCGTTCCATGCATAAACTATTTATGTGAAGAGCCTACATAAAAGATGACACCATTATTTTATGGTGTTTAATTTCAATGTGCAATCAGGGGACAATGCAGTAAAAAATGGCTAACTACATTATGTTGAACAATAATTTAAATAAAAAATAATTATTTTGATTTGATTACTCTTACTTTATTTACTCTTTCACGCTAAAACTACTGCACGGATTTTCATTAAACATTACAGTATATATACTATACATCGGAATAACATATAGGCTAAGCACAGCTAGTACATTATAAAAACTAAAGTAATTTTTCTTTCAGGACAAGTACCTATATACCCTTACTTGACCTCATCGAAACATGAAATCCAATTATCAATTTAATTGCGCAGATATGCTTGATATTGATTTAAAGACACCATTGTCTATTAATCCGCCACATATTCTGTGCTTCACTTTGAATTTCCACTCAACAACTCTCCATAACTGTTGACGTGAACACGAACTTGGCAAGCGGAGATAAGTGGACTAATTTCTGTAGGTGGCAAGTTTAGCGCTGACTGAGATCTCACTGTGGTTAGTTGGATCGTTTGAATACTCAAAAAGTATATTTTTTTATACATCTTTGAGATTTCAGAAGATTTTTCTTTTATTTAATCATAATGACTGGCAAACGCTAACGGCACAGCTGCTGGTAAATGGTAACCGTCGCCTATATAGATATATGGACAGCACTACGTACATCCCGTTATAACTTGATCTCACGTATCATATAAGTTTTTCTATTTCGGAGAGC